AGACTCTTTTTCTCTCTCTCTCTCTCTCTCTCTCTCTCTCTCTCTCTCTCTCTCTCTTCTCTGTGTATGACTGGCAACTTTCTTCTTTCTTTCCTTTGCTTTCTTTTTTTGCTAACGTTCTTCCCCCTTGTTCTCTATCTGTCTCTTTGCGAAAGATGCCATACTTTTTTGTGATTCCTCTAGCTCTTTGCTAATGACCATTGGGGTGCTACTTCAGCGCAGACGTTGGAGATGCTCGAGGCTTCGGTAGTTGTTAGTCCTTGATAGTTAGTTTGTTGTACTTGGTAGTTCTGTGGTGGTCCTTAGTAATTCTGCCTCAGCATATTGCATTCTCTCGAGATATGGCCAGAGTATCCACAATTATAGCAATTTGGTCCTCTGCATTGCCCGCCTCCTTCATTGTTTCATCCTCCCCCTCCGTTCCCTCCACCGTTGTTTCCTCCTCCATTATTCTAATGTCCTCCTCCATTGTTCCATAACCCCTCTATGGTGTTCGACCTCCATCCTTTCGCGCGATGGTAGGCTAATTTTCCTCTACCAGTTTCGGTTGGAGCTAGTTTCCATCCTCGCCAGGAGGGCGCAGCGTCGCTACTCCGCCAGCACTCCGACTGCAACGTCCCTCGTCAACCAACACTGCGACTTCAGCGTCCCTCTTCCGCCTCATCCGCAGCGCGGAAAACGACGAAGGGCGCACAACACAGAATGGCCAACCAGCCCAGGTCAACAGTTAAATAATGCTGCAGTAGACTGCCTGCACCAGCATCCGGTGACAATTTACCCGGGACCGCATGCCTACTTTCTGTCGGACTGAAATGTGAGCGCCAGTACGTTCCCCATGGTCTGGTGCCGATGTGGCCGCCGGGCCAGCCTTTTGGACTGGCCGTTTAACCTTTGACTATGTGCTGAACAGAAATGAACGTTGATGAGCCTCGATTTTGACTGTTCGCTTAGTGTCTGGATTAGACTTCTGCAGAACGACTTTCCATTTTAGTCCAGATGCGACATTTGCCTGGAATACGATGTGACTTTGCCCCACGGAACCTGTCTTTCGGAGGGTATACGCACAGGTAGCAACGCATGCCCCAATCATCACAATGTGGATGCCTTAGTTCCTATATGGCTCTTCAATGTGCGGCGGATATATCCCGCCTGCATTCGAAACCAAATACATTTCTACTTCAGATACATCCTTCTATGTGGTGTGTTGGAAGTCATTAATGGTATACTGGAGGCTATATTTCACTACTTAATGAATTGGTTTCTAAATAGTACATAGAATAATGTACTATTTTAATGAATAACATGTTATAACTTGTTGGAACGTGTTGAGAACGTGTTGAAACGTGTTGAAACGTGTTGAAAACTTGTTGAAACGTGTTGAAACGTGTTGAAAATGTGTTCACCTTTCGTAGAACGTTACGTTCTGTGTATGGGGAAAAAATCGTTATTTATGGCTTATGTCGTCGGTTCTCGCCGTTTCTTCCAGTCATTTTCTCATGCTGCACGATATGATATGCTCTCTCGCAAATGTCAATCGTTGAGTCTTTCAGTACTCCTGACATGCAACGACCACAATGAATGAAGATAAAGAGAGAGGGCCAGAGAGAGAGAGAGAGAGAGAGAGCTGGAAGCAGGGTTCACTATGGTGTGACACAAATTCACAAACATGGCATTGCGAGACAGACATTGGCCCGTAGTAGCCAACCTTTGTATTTGATGGGTGTTGGATTGCGGTATTTCATTTTGCTGATGGACTCGTGAGGGCGCGTCGATTAAATGCTGAGCTGCCCTGCTACAAGCACGGTTCACTACTGCGTGACACAAATTTACCAACATGGCAATTCGTGCGAGAGTGTGGCACACAATAACCAACCTTCCTTTTCGAGTCTGTAGGATTGTCGTACTTCATTCTATGGACGAACGCGTGTGGGAGCCTCAATTAAATGTTGAGATTGTCTGCTACAAGCACGGTTCACTACTGCGTGATACAAATTTAGCAACATGGTGGCATGAGAGAGAGAGTGACACGCATTAGCCAACCTCTACGATGATGACAACCACGGATGGTGTTTTTTTCATAACATAGTCGCTCTATGACCAATCACACAAAGATGAGCATTACAAGGGATTGTACAAGTGTGTATCATAAACAACAGACCATATGTTGTAAAGTGACTGTTCAAGTGTCATGGTTCAGAGTCTTCATCTCCTCTCTCTCTCTCTCTCTCTCTCTCTCTCTCTCTCTCTCTCTCTCTCTCTCTCTCTCTCTCTCATGGAATGACCGTGACCTTGTGTAATGAACCTTCTGAT